TTTAGTTGGAATGTGGATACCTCTGTCTGTTGGTTACCTTTGTGAACTTTTCTCTATTGTCTAAATATGGATTCTTTTCTGCTCCACTTCGTCTTTCTGAAGTTGTGAGAGCCTTAGGTCAAATCTGTATTTCGTTTCCTGCCACAGGCCTTTGTTTATTATCTGGATAAGAGTTCTGTGTCTGTTGGTGAATATATAACAGAGGCAAAAGGGGAATCCTCATCAACTGACTTGGAAAATGAAAAACCATAATACCTCAAAAGATTACTTTATTCACTAAAGTGAATTCACTGTAAGTGCTTACTCTCACACCAGAACCCAAACTGTAGGTTGTAAGTTGTTGCATGTCTTTTTGCTTTACCATTTAAACTGCAGGCTCACTTTTTAGTTGTTCATCTTATGACTTGTTATTCACTAACTGCTATAGTGTACACAGAAATGATTCTGTGTCTGCTATGAAACTAATAAAGAACTTGTATAGAACTGGTTTTGAGAGTGAGGCATTGAACACCTAGAGCAGGAGCAGAAATTCAATATAAATTTTTGCATACAGTTGTGTGCAGATGTTGTGGGTACCAAATGACATTTTTTTTTACATATTAGAATTTAACATATTAAAAAAAAAATGAAGCACAAAAAGGATGATGTTTTAACTTAAATGTTCATTTATGACGTCACTTGACCGGGGTTTTTTTCCATAGAATCATATCTATAAATACATACTTGCAAAGCCGTCGAAACAAACTACTCCTAGTTATCTTTTTGGGCCTTTAAATCGCACCCATGCACATAAGGCTTTTACCAAAGCTGCTCGCATAGTTTTCTAAACACACAAAAGCACATCTAACCTAATTGCGCTCATTGGTGAAGGCCACGTCGTGCCTATTACCAACAACAAGGCCCATTCTCTTTCTCTGTCTATTTAAAACCTGTTTGTTGTGAAGCCATGGCTGTCCTTCAGAGGTGGGGTCCAACCAAGAGAGAAAGAAAAAGAGAGAGAGGGAGAGGAGTTTATGTTTTAATCTCCAGCGCCCCGTCAGATGGGGTTGACAGAGCAGCTCTGTGATTAGCGCCCCAGATTAGAGCGGTTTTGGAAGCGTGAAGGCTGTTTTGGTTGTTGGAGGGGGCAGTTGTGGTCCTGCCTTAAAGTCTGCCCCTTCTGGGGCATCACCCCCTGGGGGGCTTAACCTGGCTAGACACTGAAGAGGTGGATTAGTTGGTAGCTAGTGGTGTGTTTGGGGGAAGGGCCGTGTATTGGCGTTTTAGAGTCATGGTGTAGTTCTGTGCTGGACTGTGATGGACCCTTCGGTAGCTCCTGAGGGCATGGCGAAGGCAGCCTGCACACACCCAGCATTGTGGAAGGTAAGAGAAATTGGGGTTGAGAAGGTTCTGGGATGAAGCGAAGCCTAGTTGAGCCCTACTTTCTTAAAACCTGAAGGTGTCAAACATGGTAGTTTGGAGAGATTCTGTAGAAGAAGTAGTGGGTTATTTAAAGAGCTGTTTTTATAAAGGACATGTGTGAGTGTGAAGAACCGTTATGTTAAGTTTAAAGAATTTTCACATAGTTTGAAGGTTCTGTATCAGTTAAAAGGTTTGTTCTAACTATTTTGGAACCTTTATTTCAGGTACTTTCTTTCACATTCTTGGAGGGATATCATATAAGAACCTTTCAGTGGATGGTTATTTATAGAACTGTTGTTGTAAAGGAGATGTGTGTGAGTGAAGCTTAGAGAAGCTTTGTACCAGTTAAACGGTTTTTATTCAAACTGTTAGAACCATTTTGGAACCTTTTATTTTAGGTAGTGTCCTTCACATTCTAGGTGCTGCTTTAAAGTTTCTGGACAGTTTAGTCTATGCAGTGTGGTACATTGTAAAAAATGGTTCATCAGTTCAACCTTACATACTTGATGGTAACAAGCAGCTGCTTTCATTCAACTCAAATGAAATAATGCAAAGCCAAATTTTACTTGAAATGAAATGATGCAAAGCCAGATTCAGGAGTTTTTCGGTCCACATCATGCGTCTTCATGCATTAATGTCAGACGATGCCTTCAGGCAAGATGTGTTCAAGCGAAGCCCCATATTCACAAAGTGAATTATTACTGCCCCATAGTGCCCATCAGTACACTTTGTTTGGTTATTGATTAAAAAAAGCATCTCAGTCCTGAATAGTTATCGACAGGATCTCCACTGATCTCTGTGAAAGCTTGACCAGTGAAGTGATCGGGCCCTAATGTGTAATAATTAGAGACTTAAGCCGGCAATATGCTTCAAATGGTATAAGAACTAAACAAAATAAAACTACTTCCAAACACACTGTTGTAATTATACTTAAAAAGAACTCTAGAGGCTCCTTGAAGTGACCATGTGACGCTATGTGGACCAATCACAGTAAAGGGAGGTTTCTGAACAAACTACTTATTGATTAAGTTGATTAGGGTTCTGTTTGGCAAGCGGCGCAAACCAAACCATGTGAACTCAAACCAGCGCACCACATCTAGCTAAAAAGACATTGTTTTGCTCCAAAACATTGTTTTAGTTTGAAGTCCACTTTAGCATGGAATTAATGGGTATACCTTAAATTTTGCTTTATGGTTAATAGTGGATCTGGTTTCATAGCCACAAAACAATGTGTAGTCATGGTGATTCGCTGTTTGACTCTTAGGTTTACGTGATGCTCCAGTCCATGTGACAGTTTTTTGACTCATAGCACGCTTAGCGCACTTCAGCAGTCACGGGAAGAGTATCAGGGAGACGCCTGTTGTGTGTTGCTCCCTATTGTGTTTCCTTGAGGGATAATGGCACTGAGGTGGATCCAGGTTTGGGCTTCTGAGTCACTCTGCACCTGGAAGGTCTATTCTGCTGTCCAAGCAGGGCTTTTTGGGCAGTGGAGCTGCTGGGACTGCACCATAAGGACAGAACAATCCAATACATAGTGATACACCAAAATGAACTGAAATTTAGGACACGTGGCTGGAAACCAGAAAGAAGTGGATTTTTTTTTTATTTATTTTGCTGTTTTATTTAAGCTTTTGAATTCATGTAATAGTGATGAAGCTTCAAAGACAACAACTACCATGTAGAGATCTAAGAGAACTAGGATGAATTTAATTTTGAACACCTTTCTAAACAAGATTGTTATATGATTAAACTATTGTACTTTTAGAAAAAAACTATGCATGTGGATATGCATGCATCGCCTAGCTGAAGTTTCTCCAGCAGGGGGCACCGATAGCACATAAGCCACTTTAGTGTTTGTCATTTTTCAGAGTTTGCATGTCTTTCCAAACCAGAGGTGAAGAAGTTTAGTACCAGAAGACATTGAGTTTCTCAGTACTATTTATATGATTTTTATTAAAGATTTTAATTAAATCAGGAATTGTTAGAAAGAATGTGAGCTAGAGACCACATAGAATGTAGATAGAGAACTGCAGTGAACTGTGTTTTTGTTTCAGTGTTGATCTACTGCCGCTCAACCTGTTCAGATGCATCTGTGTTGATTAGAAGAACGAAGGGAACAAACAGCACTTTTAATCGCTGTCCTATTGTCATGATCAGTTAAAATCCTTTTTAATTGCTAGTTTTTTACACTTCAATGTAGACCAGTTTAATCCTGTACTTGTAATTATTTTCATCTAAAGCCAATCAAAGAATGTCTGTGATTGGTCAGGATACACGTAGCACATGATATGATATTGAAGTGGTAAGTTAGAGATTGATTTGCAGTCAAAGCCCTCTCCTACATCAGTATTGCAGAGAATGATATAGTGATGATGACTAACATATGATATATTGTGTAACCCATCCAGCTGCAGTCTGTAGCCTGTGCTCTGGTTCCTCAAATCAAGCCGGGGGGTGGGGGGGAGTGGGGGAAGAAGTGTAGCGAGGGGCTCGGTGTCCAACCATACAGTCTGCTCCTGTGCCCCTTGTGATGGTATAAACAGTCTGTGTGCTACGTTGAAGCAGAAAGAGAAAGATCAAAAAGACGTGTGACTACTATCTTTGCCCGTTCATTTTTGCTGCATGAAACCAAATCTTCCTCATTTATATTTTTAAATAAGAGTTTGATGCCTTATGTGAACATTGGTTCATTTTAAAACTTTAACATTCACTCCCCAGTCCATGCTGTCCAGATATGGAAACCGGTGTTGCATTCGAGTGGTGTCAGAAACTGGGAAATAACATTTCTCCCACTCAGAAGTTGCACCCAATCAAGAAAGTTGTATTTATAAGTGGGAAACTCGAGATTAAAAGTATAATGCAAACTTTCACATTTTCTACAGTTTGTTAAAATGCTAAACTTGATGGTGAATGTAAAAAAATACATACCCTTTGTACTTCTATGTGATCTGTGTGTTTTATATTATAGCAAAGAGAAAGCAGGATACATATTCTCTGGACCTTCATGCTGTCAAAATGATATTTATTATATGATATATAATCATATTTACTAGTTAACCATCTTGTATATTGAACCTTCCGATAAGCACCCAAATGCAACAGAAGGTTCAAAAATGGCTTTTGAATTTGTCCATTTTCTGTAGTTTTGCTGCCTACTCAGCCTTCAACAGTTATGCCTCGCTCATTTTCATTATACGGAAATTATTAGGGATGTTTCAGCCCAAACTGCTTTTGAATGAGGTATTATACTGACCAGCCAATCACGGCAAGTCCATTTACAGAAATCAGTCTTAAAGATACAGTAACAAAAAGGCTGTTTTCTTCTTAGAGGTAAAGAGAGGTTAAATGGTCATGTACAGTTGCATGATAAATATTTGACACGAAAGCCATACTAATGTTGTTAGTAGACCCTAAGAATAAAATAAAACAAAAAGAGAAATATGAACTGCTTAAGTCATATCTGTTTATATGTGTCATTGTTGTCTAATGTCTGGACAAAATGGTCCTGGTTTTATGAAGCGCTTCATTCTGAGAAGGCGAAACCATGTTATTTTGGTGACCAAGCCCAAAAAAACAAACGTCTTTGTGTTTGTGTTCAGGTGTGCCATCATCCGGACTGTCAAGACCTGAACAGCAAGAGCCCTCTCCACCTGTGTGAGTCATGTGACTCCCGCTGTCACCTGGACGAGACGGACAAAATGCACTTCGACCGGCACCCTCGCTTTGACCTGCAACCACAAGGTAGGAGTGCACACACGCACGCACAATAGAGGCAAACCAGCACAATCACAGGAGAGCAAATAGGGCAGCTTATGGAGAGTGACTTCTGTGTTACAATGCAAATATCTAACCACAAACCACTGTACACAATAAACCCGCATATCTTCACTGCTCTGCATCATCTGTGCTTGTGAGGTCACACTTTGCTGAGGGCCAGCCTTCACAAGACTACGTGATGCCTGCATAATCAACATAAATCTACATAAGGCCTATTCCAACAAGCGTCTGTTGATTTAAAGGCTGCTTTTGTCCATTTTGATGTTATCTCACCATAGCAAATGTTGTGGAAATGCTTATTGGAATAAGCCTTTATAAATATCTGTTTACAGTGGAGTCCAAAAGTCTGAGACCACTGGTGAAAAAAGATTAGAGTTTGCGTTCCTTTCTTATTTAATACAAGGTTTTTTAAGTGATGATCAGCATATTAGATGAAAGGTAAAATCATTTAATGTTTGCATGAATTTCAAATATTCTTGGTTTTTGGTACAGTATATCCTCTATGTACTATAATGACAGGAAGGAATTCTACTGTTTTTTTCCAAAATTTCAGTGGTCAAGTTGTAAACAGAGTTATTCAGAGTTGTTTGATGTGAAATGGCTCATTGTAGAGAAACTTGCAGACTAAGATTGCTTTACAGTCATGGTGAAAGGAACCAGGGGTCAAAATGTTTACATCACAGATAAAGCCATTTTATTTATTATTCGTAAACATTTCATTTTTTAACTTTCTGTAAGGGAGCTTTTAAACACTTCAGACATCAGGTTTCTATCTCTACGATTGTGAACGGATCCTTAATACCTTAATTCTAATAATGTTACAAGCATATATGATGCAGAACAGTGTAGAAATGTTGCTTTATTGTGTACATTTGTGTCTAGGCTTATGGTAGGTTTTATACAGCTGTATGAACCCTGCCCTTCAATAAAGTGTTACCAGAATTAATATAGTAACTTCTATTTCTTACTGAAATCTGAAATGAACTAAATATGGCTTCCTTCTAAATATGATATTTACTAACTAACTTACCAGTTTCCTGTAATGATGCTGAAAATGAGCACGTTTTTAGGATTAGCAGTTGATGGTATGCTCCCTCACTGAAGTGTATCATGGCCGTGAAGTGGAGTCACGTCTGTAAGCAGAGAGGAATGTATCCTCATTAGATTAGCCTTAGTGAAGTCCAGCGAAAAGCAAGGATGACTAACACTGCCTGTGTTAGTAAAAGGTTTATGTCCCCTCGGTGGTCCTCAGTGGTAGGGGATTTGCCTTTGGACAGCCAGTGTGTCTTCACATGCACATACACACTGACGCAAACCGCTGTGTGTTTCTGCAGGTTCCATCCTGGCGCGGAATGTGTCCACACGCTCCTGCCCCCCACGCACCAGCCCCCCTTCGGACCTGGACGAGGAGGAGGGAGGGGGCACAGAGCGAGGGTCAGTCTGTTGAACAAGTCCAAATGATTCTACTGAGACTTTAAAGGAATCAGAGAACTGTAGTCAGTCTGCCATGACATGTTTGGTGTCTTAAGTTTGCTTCGTTATTTTTACGCTGGAGCTGCACAGCTGGTGTAGCTCACAAGTAATTTATACCAATAACACCAATTATACCAATTATAAAGAAAGACAAACACGTTTGTTTAATAACATGAAACTGTGAACTGCAGAATGTGTTTCTTCATAGTGCAGCATGTCAAAATAAAGGCCCCTCTTAACAAAGCATGATGTGACATTTCAGAATTAAAAGCTCTGTGCACAGAGTTTTTCTTATTCAGTTGTGCTTCACACCAGCTTTGTCAGCACATTACTCAGACTTTTACATTGTTATTAATTTAATGTAGGCTAAAAAAATTAACTGTCAGATTTTTGGGTGATTTTGAGATAATAAGGTGATTATTAAGATGTGTATCATTTAGACTTTGTGGCCATAAAATAAATTAGAAGAATATTGAAAATGAAATACTTGTCCAGTGTACCTCATATTAAACTCGTCAATGAGCTCTTCAATTGTAACAGCATATTATGAGGTATACACATTTTAAATTGAAAAAGAAAAAATATCAGATCTTCACTCCTGATGTTCTGATAGAAGAATCAGTATCAGGAGGGAAAATGTTGTATTGGTGCATCCCTATTTGAAGCTTGTATTAGTGGATTTTCCTGACATGTGGTGTGTGTGTGTGTGTGTGTGTGTGTGTGTGTGTGTGTGTGTGTGTGTGTGTGTGTGTGTGTGTGCCGTGTGCCCACAACCTCTACACTATCAGGGAGCGGAAAACAGGCGGGATAAAGCTAAGAAGGAAGGACCGGAGGCGTTACACTGATGTGAGTCCTCCTACTGGCAATTCAGGGTACTACAGCAATGCAAGTGTGTACTTGAAAACAAGGTGTCAGAAAAGATTCTTTGGCATGAGGCCACAGAACAGGGGGGTCCAAACTTTTTAAGTGCAGTGTTTGAGGTAGGCCGAGGGCCAAAAAGACACAACAAATTGTGTTATTTCAATAATGTATTTTATAACATTACAGTATATTTTGTTACTGAAATACTTGTACAATTTTAAAGGAAAAAAATCATGTTATCATGTTATATTAATTATAAAGTATGTTTGTTCTTACTGGGTAAGTGGTTGTGATTAGGGTAACTTTCTGGTGGGCCAAAACAAACGTCCTCATGTCAAATTTGGTCACACTTTGTGCAGTACTGCTATAAAAGAATGACTTTTAATGGATGTTCCTCAAAAATAAAAAACATTTTTGTGAATGAAATGTGGAAGTATAAAGAAACTTTTTAAAGCTTAGTCACGGTGAATTGGAAATGATAATGCACGTATCAGGGAGGGTCTCTGAACTAGCTCAACATTTTTGCTCAATGTTATGTTAGGGTGGTGTGAGAAAAAGGTGAAACACATGATTGTTTAAATTTGTTTTTCCCCCACCTACTATTGCGTGATGTTGTAATGGTGTTGTAAGATGGATGAGGGCAAAAGGTGTTACATTTAGGTGAATGATTCTTGACAAATGAGAATTGTGCCTTTAAAATTATGTTATGAATTGTGAATAATGTGAGCTGGCACCCAAATGAACAAGATACAAAATGTACATTTTGATTTCAGGTTGACTTGAACCCCTTACACAGTTGATACTTTAATCTATACCAATTAACGCATTTTCCCTAAGCAGTAAATCCAAGCCATGAAACTTTATTTTTAAGGGTTTAGAGGGATTGGCAGTGGTTGCTGAAGCAATTCACCACCAGAATGCAATTTGAGATCATACTTAGACAAAGTTTCTCAGTAGAAATTGAAAGAATTTTGATTAGTCATTATGGCCCTGTGTCCATAACACAAATAAAGCCTTGTCTAAGGCTGAAATGAAGTGCCAGTGCTGATTCATCTTCGAAAATCCTCTTTTACTTCACGCTTAATCCAGATCTGGGAAAACAGCTATATAAGTCACAGACTTGCCTTGGTATACACATGTGGCCATTTGTTTATATGTGAATGACAGTGTGTTTGTATATCTGTGTCTAGCTATCTCTAGTTTATACTACTCCTCTTGTGCATCTATCTCAAATTTGTACTGATGCCATATTTGTGGGTTTCCTGCTGCTGTCTGGTCAAAGTATCAAACATCAATCGCTGTACAGGAAATGACGTCAGTCTCTGAGTCATCTTCCTTGGGCTCAGGATGTGGGAGATGTGAGTCTGTCTTCAGAGGGATAATTAGAGTGTTGAAGCTAGGCTGCAGTCAGCTATATATCTTGCTTAAACTGGACTCATCACTGATTTCACCCCTTCACTCATGTTGTAAATATCGCCCCCTGCAGGACCCCAGCAAGGAGTGCTTTACCCTGAAGTTTGACCTGAATGTTGACATAGACACGGAGATAGTTCCTGCCGTGAAAAAGAAGACACTGAGGTGAATCAGCAGGGAGATTTTCACACATTAAGCGATTCTTGTAAATTCAACATTTAGCAAAAGACACAGGCCCTGATATAATGATAGGATTTCCACTGCTGACTCAATGCCTGCTGCTAGGTCTTTGTTGGTGAATAACCTGAGTGCTTCTTTTGACCTTTTTGATTCTTAGTTTCTTATCTTGCACAGAGTTATGTTTATGAATTACCTGTGAGTAAAAAATGATTTTACCGATCATTATGTCCCTAACCCAGAGAGATCCTGGGACCAGTTTTTGAAAGGAAAGGCATCGAGTTATCCCGTGTAGACCTGTTCCTGGACCAGTCCAACACACCCCTCTCGCTCCAATTTGAGGCCTACCCTTTTGGAGGACACTACATCAAAGTCAAGGGTAAGGTTCAGTGGTAAATGTGTGCGTTTTCAGTAGGCTTGGACAATTTGATGACTTTTGCATCATAACATCAACAGTCTTGATATAAAATGGCGTATCTGTATTGACAGATATCATCATTGTGATGATATCAGCAGAAAATGCTGAATTGGATATCAAACAGCAAAAAAGAATGAATTAGATCTAGTCCTGTAACAGATCTAACCTGTTTGAGCTTAGTTGTTTCTTAAGTGTGCTTTAATTAAAAATAACTCATTTTACAGCTTAGTAGTTTTTACAGAAAAAATGATTGTATTCATTTGGGCATTAGCTGATATTTAAGGTTTCATTATCGGAAAAGAAAAACTGGTGTTGTGCCATCTTTAGTCTTGACCAACAATATTATTTTTGTGTTGAGACAGCGATCAGCATGTTTACTGCTTAACTGCATGCATGTTTAAAAGTGCCAAAAACCATCCACTAGTCCGACTTGAACACAGCCAGCCATTATTGGATTGTTTACGAAAAGCACCAAGTGCAAACATGAGAGACATGAGATGTTTAACCCCTTTGACTGCCAGTGGGAGAACATTTTCAGCAGCATCGTTTGGGGAAATTGTTAGGGCTGGCCCAAAAAGCAGTTTGTATTTTTGAATACTTATTTACATTTTTGAGTGAGTACTTGAGTGCTCAAAATCACCCTCAAAAATAATATTTAAATTTTTTTAAGTGTACTAGACATTTCTGTCTTACGTTCATCAAAACAGGAGCCTGTTATTCAAGCATAAACTCCACAGAGATCCAGTCAAATCACACACTCCCATTTTCTATAGTATTCTAAACTATATTTAAACTTAATCAGTTACTAAAATGTGATGATCTTGTTGCATGGTCGTTGCAGAGCAGCTCCTGCGCTGTACTAACGGTGTGTGGCGGAGACTCTTCTCTAATACAGCAATAAGAACTTGTCATTGTGATTTTGTCAGAAGAAACAGATCTGCTGTCTGTGCTGTCAAGCTTAAAACCTGCTGTAAATCTGTTTAATTAGAAGCAGAAAGGAGGAAAAAATAGCTAATATTCTTGCTTGAGGCAGCTGCATGATGAAGCTGAATTGGAGACAGTGTGGAGTGGACTGAAGGGGGTACTCAGAAAAGGATCGATCACTACTTACATGTTTGAGATACATCAAGCTTGTCGTGTCTCTGTGGTTTACCAGACTCTTCTCACATGCTTTCCTGTTATAGTTTGATCAGTTTTGTAATCTTTTAGGCATCTTTGCTCTTTTAGCTTCAGTGACAACATGGAAAGCAGTGCAGCATTATTAGTATTTTCCATATACTAACAATAACAGTTCTATCTAGAGGCTATTGCGGATGAAATTTATTTTAGGCCACAGTTTTTTGTGGTTAAAAAAAGAGGAAGCGTCTGAATACTAAATAGAGAAATTAATATCAATGCAACAAATGAATGCTGATGTGTTCCAATTATTTGGGCCAGCCCTATTATAAAATGATATAATGAACATCCTTTTTTTTTTTTCAAACAAACAGTATCAACTATAAGGATTTGCTAAAACAAGAGCTATTTCTGAAAAGATCTCGAAAAGTGAATATTGCCCAACCATAGTTTGGGGAAGGAGATGGTTGGGGCTTTTCAGGAACCCTCCTTTTGGTCAAAGTTTCCGTCATTTATCTCATCCAACCAATCTCAACACCTATTGCAGTTTCCTATAAAAAAATCTCTACAAGCTGGACGTTCAGCCCAGACAAAGCAAAGTATTTTGTGATCTACTAACATGGCTGTTTAATTTATATTGGGGCGGTTATGTTGGGTGAAGGGGAAGGCTGTGTTATGTACTGCTGGAGAGCTCCTTCATGACTAATAACCACATGCCTGTCCTCGACATATCTTTAATCAAGAAGCGGACATGCAGGCACACACACTCAACAGACATCACACTTGCCACATTTTTGCTTGCGTAATTTGCAGCTGCTGACGTGAGACTGGAGAATTAGATGGAAGTTAAAATGATTAGAATGGGCAACACTGACAGCTTTGCCTTACGGTAGCACCACTGCTGATCCCGAGAGTGGTCTCTATACACCACGAACAAGGACTTTTAAGGATATTGTTATGCATTGTTAGCGATGATGGCTGATGATGACAACTTTTCAGAAGAAAGCTTACGTGAGTATTTTAAGATTTGTCTCCAAACATTTTAGCATGTTTGGACTGATTTCTTACATGATCTGTGATGAGGTTCACAGTGTCCTTGTTTTGACTGTGTACTGTTTGGTTTGTGCATGAAAGTCTGATCTGTTCTGAGATATTTAGAACACTGTCATTTTCAAGAGGATGGTTGTTAACTGTCAGATTTGTTACTTACGTAAAAGTATTATGGCTGCACAAAGACGTGGGAAACATATCAGTACCGGCAGGTAATTGCATAAAAAAACGCATTAGTAATGAACAGATGTTTAGATTTGACCGATATTTCAAATATTTGAGGTGACACTGGATTACCATTCTGTCTAGTCTCCATTTTGTTCATTTTACTGCTTTGTAACTCTACAGAAAGAAATGTTTTGTTTTATTTCTTTGAAATGCTTATCCAGGTAGATTTAGTCCTAGTTCCCACATTTTATACAGCACTGTGCAAAAGCCAAAGACCACCCTTCATTAATTTAATTTTCAATCAAACCAGCCATTAAGTACAAGCAATTGTTTTATTTTTTTTCAAAAGCAGGAAATGTATTTAACAGAAAATTATACAGAAGCCTCAGAAACATTTTTTTTTTTCAGTGTTTAGTGTGCTTCAATTTTTTTCAGGAGATTTGCTTGCCATTTCTCAAAGGCTATGTTTACACAGCAGGTAAAAGTGGCCCAAATCCGATCTTTTTTCTCATATGTGACACAGATGTGTCATCTGTGTGGCTGTGTGAACAGCAAAAAACGCATTGAATCTGACATTTTCAATTCCGATTTGAGACGCTTTCATATGTGGTACTGAAATCCGATACGTATCCGATCTGCGGCAATGCGACTCAGTCTGAACAGCCAGATCGGAATTCATGAGACTTTTACGTCAATCCAACTCGACATTCGTCATAATTTCGCGCTGCTGAGGCTCATGAACATTTAGTCTGATGTTTCTGTACCAAAACATTAGAAGAGACTCATCGCGACCGCTACGTGTTCGAAGAGGTTTCGAACGGAGCGGCCGAACGCGGCCGGAGGAGCCCGAGGCTGCAGCGTCAAAGAACAGTTTAAAGAATCCGAGGACACGAACCAAAGAAGTGGTCGTGGCCGAATAACGTGCCCTTTTTACAGTGAACTGGAACACACTGTGGGTGATGAGCCCAGCTGTCAGTCATTGGAACTTTAGAATCGCTCCTGTGATGCTGGCGAAGACGAAACTGAAAGCTCTGGGATCGACTGGCGTTTGCTGGCCATCATGACTGTTTACCTCTGGATGAGCCGCCACGTGAAGCACTGCTCTTTTTCGCATGCGGGTCGGTTTAGGAGCTGATCTGTTCAGACTGATGTCGCATACAGGATTTGGTGAGAAAATCAGATTTTTACCTGCTGTGTAAATGTAGCCAAAGAAATCTACATTGTTGTTTTTCCACACCCTCAAAGTTCAGTCCTAGAGCTTGGTTGAATTTTCTGCTTCTATGATCCAAGTGACCCCAATTACAAATGAAGTCTCAACTGTCCTCTTTCAGTGTTCTAGTGCCAATTTTCTGCTTTTCTGTCTATTTGCTTCTCTCAGTATCAGCTTCATGACAGCTACACACACTTTCAGACTCATAGAGTTAAGTTGGAAGGATGGACAGAAACACCTATGGATTTTTTCAGATCTGAAGCAAGAGTGGACTACCATGTTTTGCATGGTAGTTAGGAGTCCCATTTTCTCCGCAGCTTTTTCTCAGTTCTGGAAACACATTTTTTTTTCACTTCCTTTCCTTTGACTTTCCTCTTCTGTATGAAAGTCGATTATTTTGTATCTAATATCAGAAATATCTCTTTTAGTTGTGTTTGAGTTGTTGTCTGGTTGCATGTTTGTGTCACTGAAGGGAAACAATGTTAGTGACTTGGTTTTAATATTGAAAGGATGGAAGCGTTAAAGTGGCAGCAGGCGACACGAAAGTAAAGAGTGGATAAAATAAATACACATGGATTTGATATGTGTAGTGTTGGAGGTGTTTGTGTAAAGTTCTGTTAAATGTATGCTTCCTGCTTTTTTCTTTTGCTTAATGACTGTACTGACTAATTGAGTAAACAAAATGGTGGTATCTGACTTTCGAACAGTGGTGCCATCGGCAGATACGTACATGAAAAGCTTTGGCATGATCACACAATACTCATCAGTGCATCCCTAAAATATATTATTGAATTGCTCTCAGCACTTATTGTTTATTGACTTGTTGTCAGCACTTTTGTTTATTGGGCTGAATGTAATGTATTGATTTTTCTGTTTTTATGTGCGTAGCTCGGCCCGGTGATGAGCTGAAGGTGGAGCAGGGAGTGAAAGACTTACGCTCTCTCAGCTTACCCAATATGAAGAATTCAAGTGGGGGCAGTCCTTACATTCTTGCCCCCACCAATGAAAAGGTTGAACATGGTTCCCTTACCCGCAGAGAGAGCGTGGACATACTGGTGAGTAACACTAGGCTTCTCTTTCTCATGTGGTTCTCAGTCTTTTTAATATGTGGCTTCTCTTTTTTCAATGAATACTTCATTTCTCTTGCTGCTACATCTCAAGCATGCAGTTGATTACCACAGACAGTAATTTCCCTGTACATAAACAGAACAGGAAACCCATCAACTCTGAACACACTTAGACTAGAAGCCAATGGGCAGTTGCTTTAAGGACCGATGTAGCAGAGATTCAAGTTGTTGCTGGTGATTCACTCTCTGTCTCACAAATATATACACAATTCATTTGAAATATACAGAAATGCACTGTCTATACCTTTCTAGTTTGCAAATCTTCACACCCTCAGCATGTACACTATGGCCACTGGCTGTTTCCTTCTGCTTTATGATGTCCTATTTCATACCTGGTCTGAACACTTTGCTTCTTCTCATGGTTTTAACTCCAGTGTGGGTTGATGTTCCTACACGTATGATCTCATCACCTTGGTAAACCACTGCTACCCTCTCCTTCCTCCTGGAGACGGAAGTGGTTGCTCTACCGCATTGAATACGTAGTCATAAATGCAACAGTATGAAAGATAGATGTTACACACTTATGGCTCTTTCTGTTGGTGGAAACATACTGTATGTGGGTTAAGTTGCAGCAACAAATGTTACAAGGAGGTTCAGACTTCTCAGAAGTCTCAAGTTATTTCTGGCTGTTTTGTTTTGCTTCCTGCGTCCTCCGTACCCTTTCACCATTCTTTGACATGGTCTTTTGTGCTGGTATGCTCCTGGTCAGTTTAAGAGTAATGCTTTTCACCCCCAGCATTCTAGGTTTGGGTTTCTCCATGGAGCGCTACAGGCCAGTAGTTTAGAAACAACATTAATTTTGTAAAAATAAACATGAGATTTTTTGTTTGTCCAACAGATAATGGACATTAATAGGTTCATTAGTAAAAATCTTAGTCTCAGAATCTCCACGCATACATAAACAGAGCTATATCTTTTCCACCTTTAGCCGGCCACAGCTATTTGCATTTTGTCATTTCCATCCTGTTTGGCTATCCACACAACCAGCAAGCTTTTTTAGTCCAACAGGAAACTCACTTTTGCACAGTTACTTGCTCTGATTGCCATGACTGAGCCTTTCGGAGCGAGATAAAAGTAGCAGTACTGAAAATGTTTGGTAAATATGCGGCATAACGTCATTAAAAATTACCGGTGGCCTTTTAAGGGAGACATACTATATATGACATACATGCCAGTTAGTTACATACCGGTTTGTTTTGGTTGTAGCCTGGTTTTGAAAATCAGTTCACACTAAAACCGTGAACTGTGGTTGGTTATTTTGCATGCCAGTTAATCAGACCTTTCCTGTCAAAGTAGGCAGTTCTTTGCCACTGACAACAGGCAGAAGTCTGGCTTGCGAGACGTGCGAGACTCAATATCATCATTTTGAGTCACCCCTGGTGATTACACTACAGAGCTTAACTGCAGCTCTAATCCACTTCATTTTTACCTTTAGGTGTTATGAAAACTTGATGAATTAGGTATTCCTGAATCAGGAATTCAACTGAATCAGCAAAGACCGTGAAGGACTTTCCAAATAATATGCTAGGGATGGGAATATTTTGGAAGAAAGTTCTTTGGTTAAACTAGATGTCAATAAACATGTTGCATTTGTTGTTATCAAATGAACTAAATTTTGAAGTATTTTTGAAGCTTTAAAAAAAGAATCATTGCTTGCTTCCTGTATCATTGCATACCTGCTCAACATCAGTCAGTGAAGTAGTCTCTTCCCAGGCAAGCCGAGGCCCATTGGTTCTGCTTGTGCAAACATTGGTCTGTTGGTGTGCTGGCATCAAATCCATGGGCAAGTCAGAGTGTGCTGTGTGCTTTATGCTTGCTGCAACACTAAAGCTGTTACCGTTTGTCTGAGGCTTACTTGTCGATCTTCGCAATAAAACCTTAAGATGAGAGTTCTCAGGTAGACCGTGGCTTTGAGCTTATTCTGCCGAGGCGCATCAAGCTGTGTTTTCTGCATAGTTACGTAACTTGCGCAGACAAGCCTGCACGTGTTGGAGCCCTAATGCTTCTTACAGCTGTTATCCTCCTTTAAATACACAAGAAATTGGGTTTCAGCTTCCAAATCTACCATAAGGCTGGTCTTTATGAAAAAGCAGCACTGAGCACTTTATCCCCATTGTTGAGCCAAGCTGTCTGGATTTCTTGGAAAGTTCTAATTTATGAGGAGCAGTTGGCTCTCCGTAAAAGGAAAAGCATTGCCTTAATGCAAAGTGAGAACATTTTGTCTGTGGAGTTGAGTCAGTCCTCTCCATCCAAAGGAAAAACTGATAGTTGTTATGGATAGGCTTTGGTCATGAACGAAAAAACAATTTAAAGATCAGTTATTGGAATTCAAGCAACATCTGTAGGAGATGTCAGCGAGAAGTGAAGTTATCCATTTGTCCACGAGTGTGCGCTACAGAGCTTGCCCAAACTTTCTGTCCTGGGCGCGAAGGGCATTGTTTGTGTTGGGCCAAAAAGACAAAAGAGTAGAAGGTAGGTAGGTTTCAAACTGTGTTTTGAAATTAGAATATAGTAAGTTATAGTATTAAACAAATGTTACATTGCTTGAGGGAGTGGGGTAAGATTAGCATTCTGCTGGGCCAATTCAAACGTCCTCACGTGCCAACTTTGGCCTGCAGGCCACACTTTGTGCAGCCCTGATTTAGTATGTGGAGTTATTTGCGATAGTGACCTGATTTGAACTTCATCACGCTCGTCCTTGAACTGACCTCTATTCCATAACCCCTTTCAACAGTGATAATCACTTTGAATAATGACCCGCCTTTGCACTGTCCCATACGCAGCAGGCAGGTTTGCATTTGCACATTTGCCTGGCGACAGAACATTGAGCATTTGCATTACAGCGGCCCGTGCCAAATTCCAACATTCCACCTTCCCCCTTTTTTTTCCCTGGAAGAGATTTCACAGTTTTCCTTGATGTTATTCTGAATATAATTCTGTCACTGTATGCAAATAGTGTTATGTCAAAGGTCTTTGTCTAAAGACTGCAGGGCTGCAGCATAAGTGTAACCAGCCCAGTATCTGTTTATTCTTCCTGAGATCCTTAAGAATCCCAGAAGGATATTTTAGAGTAGAGAATGCAGTGATATTGGAATTGGTGAATCCCAGGAAGGAAAAAATAACCCAAAGAAAGGAAAAAAAAAGTAAAAGAAACAGACTTTGAATAACATCAGTGAAGGCTGTAGGTTTACTTTTTAGATGACTACTGGTGTTGTGCAGAAAATTAGCAGCACACAGAGCAATACACCTGAAAGCATGTGTGATTATACAAAAATAGCAGAGAGAAACTGGTAGAAGAGGCTGCCTCTTCAGAAGAGCTAACTGTGTTGGATGTTGTTAGCAGCTTGTTTTCTTTTTACAAGTAGTGGGTCATTATGACTTAAGATTTTTAGGTTCTTTGAATATTCATCATAGTTATAAGATATATATGTGTATATATATATATGTATATGTGTATATATATATATATGTATGTATGTATACATCTTTTTTCGCAAAATGATAGTAACAGTAAACACAAACAGTAAACAAAAATTGGTAAAAATTACTTGACTTACATGCTGTTATATATAATAAATTTATTACAATGGTCTGTTTGCCTGTAATGAATTACTGATTTATTTAAACAAAACATGATGATGATGATGCAGTGGATATTGACATTTATATGTACAAAAATGGCAGTAGTTTTATTAACAGTGTGTCGATAATGACTATCTAGGCTTATATTTGAGAGTGGAGAGTAGATTTGGGTGAGTAAGTGACTAAATTTTTCTGCGTCAAAGATCGCTTTCTTAAGAGGGTGGTTATCTCAAGATGACAAGGTAGATAGCAATTCTTCGACATGTTTAAATAGCTTGATATTTTTACGAAAATGGCAAAATACATAATCAAAATGCCCAAATCATTTAGAAACTTTAAGAAAATATCGCCGTTTAAAAAAAGTTGTTATTTAACTGCTTAAGAGTCATTCAACTTAACCATGCAGCAACTCAGACATGTCAAAATCCCCATTTCCACATCAAAGAAAATGGTATAAAATGTACAAAATGTGTTTTAAAGTGGACGTTCCTATGTATTCGTTATAATGTGTTCATTTGGAGTAAAACTAAAAATTGTTTCAGTATGTTTGTGTGAAATTTAAATGACCATGCTAGAGATGCCAAAGGCACATTATATTGATACTGACCCTGGTATTTTCTCCCCAGTGGATGATGTGGCAGCAGTAAGTTCGTCAGATAGTATCATTTTCGGTAGTTCTGGACCTAGCTAACATTAGCTAAATTAGCCTAGTTGGCAAAAAGCCATGTCAGAGCCATTTCTCTGCCTGCTCAGTCACAACCTTAATGAGTTCTTCACAAAGCACTCATTTACTTGTGTTTCATAATAGCAAAGTGTAAGATGATGCAGATACTTGCAAATATGAGCCAAATAATCACATTTTACAGTCCTGTTAAAACATGAAATTATCGTTTCACTCAGTTGTTGGTCTTTTACCTTGTATCTCTAGTGCAAACCTAAAGCAGCAGACTTAAGACAGTAAACATACCTTGGCTGATCAGCTACTCTTGAGCGGAACTTTATGTAAATATGATTTTTCACTTAACTGTTCTGTTAGGTTTTTCCAGACTTTAGTTTCTCCGGAAGTTTTTTGCCTCTGGACTTGCTATAGCAACCCTGTACCCCTGTAAAACCAGCCTGTTCTCTGCTTTGACTCTGATGGCATGTGGCACTTAGGATGTTTGGTTCTGCAGAGTCTCTGAGGCTGGCAGTATGTGTAGCCCAATCTGATGCCCACTGCTGGAATTCACCTCCACTCTGCCAGCTTTTCTGCTGGAATGTTTATGAGGGCCATGAGCTGTGACTGCATTTGACCCCGCTGCGCCTTGCCCCCTCACCAAAGCCTGACCTTTAGAACATGTCTGCCA